CAAATTTAACTCCATCCCCGACCTCTTTCCATGGCCTCTTATATGCATCTATTTCCAGTTACTAACAGAGTATCACCATCTGGCTGTCCCAGAGACAATAAAATCATTATGCCCCAGACTGAATTTAGTATCTTTTTTTTTTCTCAACCCATTCCCTCTCCTTCACTCTAATCTTGATGACTGGCCCCCCTATCCATACACTCACAACCTAGAAACCTGGGAGTTAGACTAGCTTTCTCTCTTTCCTTAGCCAAACGCCCTCCACCTATCCAATCAGTGTCCAGGTCCTACTGATTTTATTTAACTTTTTTTTTTTTGCCTCTTCTGTCCATGCCCATTATTTCCAGAATCTCGTACCTTAACTATTGCAATAGTATCCTAAGTGATCTTTCTGCCTTTACTATCAGTCAGTCAAGTTGTTTTTATTCCCTGATAAAATTTCCCTGGTGGTTTTTCATTGAATGTGCAAACTCCATTATGTGATATTCCGCACTTTTATTTTTTTAAATATTTTATTTATTTATTCAACAGCGAGCCATATATATAGAGAAAGCACAAGCAGGGAGAGTGGCAGGCAGAGGCAGAGGGAGATGCAGGCTCCCTGAGAACAGGGAGCCTGATGTGGGGCTTGATCCCAGGACCCGGGGATCATGACCTGAGCCAAAGGCAGACGCTTCACCGACTAAGCCACCCAGGTGCCCCCATAAATTTCAACCTCCAATTTCTTTGGTATTGTCTCAAAGTACTCTTTCTCTGGCATGTAATAAATGTGTCTGACTGAAAATTGAGGTGATCCCTGGTTACATACATTGTTGGTTTCCATCCCAATGTGTTTCTGTGTTCTTTGAAAAGGTGATGTAATTACGCCTTACCTAAATTAAATTGGCTTGATCTCTATAACCATCCCATAAGGTAGTCACTATGTCATCATTGTTGTTGTAGTCATCATCATCGTCCCCATTTTATATGTAGTGGAGAAATGCCATGGTCGTCTCTAAGTACACAAACTTGTAGGCTATCCCAGAAGTCCTGGAATTGAAAGGTTCATAGACCAAATTAAAATGCTCAAACCAGCCAGTTTGTTGAATCAATTTAAAATCTACAGTGAAAAGCAAAGGGAAAGGGATTGGGTAGGTTAAGAATTTAGCGCAAATAGGTGGAAGGACCACACTGCCTGTGGGTCGCTCAAAGTTCCTCTGTCCTGACTCTCTTTGCACCACTTTCCTTTACTGCAAATGGTGTGGTTACAAGGAGCAGAGTTAAGGGCAGGCAAGAAAGATTAAAGATGGAAGAAGGTTTGTGGTGCCAGTACATGCTTGCTCTATTGGAGAGATGAAGAGGCTATTAAAATATGCATGGCTACAGCTGTAGCTCTGTGATAATCCAGTGAGCAACAGTATGTATTTTAAGCAGAGGGCAAGTGTGCTAGAACGTGTGATACCAATGGGTAGCCAATTTGAGTTGATAAACCTGATCCATGCTTTATGAATATTTAAGGTTTATTTTGCTTTCCATCTCTTTCTATCCGCAAGTAACACTTTCATTTTTTTCATCCTTTCAATGTGTTTAACACGTAAATGTCTCTTCTATGTTTAACATGTCCTATGGGTCTATAATATACTTACTATCTATAGTTAACCTTTCTTATGAGTTTCATACATCCCATTTGTTTTCCTTGTCCTTTAACGCAGAATCAAAAATTCTTAAAGAATGCAGCAAACACACATCATATTATAGATGAAGCACATACGTGAGGCACAGGACTACTATACCACTTGCTCAAGATCCCCACATTTCATGTCTAGGAGAGTCAGGAGTTCAAATATAGGAAATGCCGCTCCACAGCCCACTTCTTAACCGGCATCCTAACTTGATTCCTAATTTGCCTGAGAAAACACGGCTAGTTAAGTCTGACCTCAAATCCAATGCTCTTCCCGCTCAGTACCCTTAGGGCTCGAGACCCCTTTTTTTAATCTCTGTTGTTCATTTCCCCAAGCATAGGGCCTACACAAATACTTGTTGACCAAGAGAAGATCCCATTTTAACTTTGCTTTTCTTTTGGGTTAAGTTTAAAGGGCCCGAATAATACCCATTTAAGATTGAAGAAAATTTAAACTTTGGCGTTTAAAGTTACATTATCTTTGGCATTTGACTTTAAACCAAATTAACCTAAAGAGACACCTAGTTGCTGGAGAGCAAAAGATAAGGATGCATGAACTGAGATCTAGCTCTGATTGTGAAACTGACCCTTTCAAAGGGATTAAGGTATCTCTCTGCTTCATTTTCTTCAGTAGGAAAATGGCTCTAGTAATTCCTATCTACCGCTTTCACTACGAACTGTTACATTTGCTATTCTTCCTGTTACTAGCATGCTGTTTAAAACAATGGCTTCTGTATTATGGATTAGAAATTATAAAAAATGTAATAAAGTCTATTTGTACATTCATATGATTAACATATTTACACGATTAAAAAATAACAAATGTTTATAACCTTTTTTTAAAAGATTTTATTTATTTATTTATTTGAGAGAGAGAGAGAGAGAGAGAGAGAGACAGCATGAGAGGGAAGAGGGTCAGAGGGAGAAGCAGGCTCCCCGCCAAGCCGGGAGCCCGACGCGGGACTCGATCCCAGGACTCTGGGACCACACCCGAGCCGAAGGCAGTCACCCAACCAACTGAGCCACCCAGGTACCCCAAATGTTTATAACCTTTTAAAAGCACAGTTTATGCTACATTTGGACATGTTTCACATCCAGCAGTTTGCTAAGTAATCCACAATTTTCCTCATCCATTTGACTTCTCTAAAATAAAAACAAATAGCAGCCTTCTGAAAGAAGCTAAGATGAATTATTAAGGCCCTAAAATATTTTTAATGCCACTTTTTAAATTCCATACTTATTTATATATTTATGTATTTATGTATGTATGTATGTATGTATTTATTTTCCCACTTACAAAAACCTTGTTCCTGTGTAGGAAGTTGGCAATGAGCTCAATATATGCAAGACCATGTAGAACTCAACATGGTGTTCAACCCTGGCTGCCTATTAGGATTGACTTAAAAAAAAATACTGATGCTTTAGCTCTATATCAAACCATTTATTTATTTATTTAATATCAAACCATTTAAATCAGAATCTCTAAGGATGGAATTCGGCCATCTGTTTTTAAAAGATTTCCGGACATTCTACAAAATACTTGACCAGTACTCTTCAAAACTGTCAAGGTTATCATAAACAAGGTCTGAGAAACTGTCACAGACCAGAAGAGGGAAGGGAGACATAATAACTAAATGTAATAATGTATCCAAAGTGGGGTCCTGGAATGGAAAAAGGATATCAGGGAAAACCTACTGAAATCCAAATAAACTGTGGAGTTTAAAGCAATGTGCCAATATTGGTTCCTTTGCTGTGATTTTATGTACCGTAGTAATATAAAATGTTAACAATGTTAACAATAGGGGAACTCTAAAATAAAAAATTTATTTTAAAAATCTAATATGGAGCTGGAGTTGAGAATTACTTACATAGCACCTGCTTATACTGTATCAGCAAACAAAAAGTCCCTTTGAAATATTGAGCTCAAGTGCAATTGGCAGCATGCGTGGTCCTGAAAACCTGACTCCCAGAAACAACAGGCTGCTTAGGACAGAATACATTTCTAGAGGCACTTTGAGGGAAACAAAAATGGACTAATTACAATAAACATAACTATTTGCTTCTGAGATGCAAAAATTCAAGAAAGACTGCTTAGTAAAGGAGGAAAAAAACTACCCTCAACCCATTTCTCAGGTTAGAAAGGTAGTTTTATTTTGATATCTATGAAAGATATAAATATCTGGATTAAATATAATGTTTGCATTATGGTACCCTAGTAGTTTGAGAAAATTGTGAGTGATTTATCTTTGCTAAGAATTGTTGTTTCTTATCTATAAAGGAGATTTAGACCTGACCAGAAAGTTCTTCAGTATTAAGTTAATTTTTCCTCTCTTGCCTCTCCCCCTGTGGTAGGAAGGAGGCAAGGAAAAAAGATCTGCTAGTCCTCCATAATGAAGTCTACCTGGATTTAGCCCGGTCACACTTCTTTTTTTCATAACCATTAAAGATATTTGTCATCTGTGTAAATCTCTAGAGGGAAGTCAGAATTGTGCCTAAAGAAATTATTCTGCACAAGTAAGCGTTTGACAAACAGCAATTGTTTGGAGATGCCGTTTCAAAAAGCTCCCTTTTAATTTTTTGTGTTGCATTATTTTGTTTGCAAAAACGTCACCAATTTGTAATCCAGAATCTGTATGCGTTGAATAAACGGTATTAACAGCCTGTAGTCACCCAGATCACAGTCCAGCTCCCTAAATTCATGCGACTTCAGGTAAATAATTTCTCTTCTCTGAGCCGATCTGTTTCTCATCTGTAAAATGCGTCGGTAGGGCTAAGCAGTATTCAATGCTCCCTTCTATTCGAACATTGAGATTTTTTGAGGACTTGAAACAAACTGGAGAATTTTAGGATGTAGGTCTTTGGGTTCTGGTGGGCAGTATGGTATTGAAGAAACTGTTCTCATGCTTGTGTTTCTAGAGCCTGAACAGTAAATGACAGGAGCAAGGATGCGTACACGGGAAGAGTAGGACAGCGACCCGTAGGAGGGTCAACTCCTGAGGCATAGCTTAGATTTGCAAAGCAAGCAGAGCGTTCGGCTGCTAGGCAACCGCTCCTCCTTTGCGAGCGTGGAGGACCCCAATCGGAGGTGTCTAAGTCACTACCTCTTAATTTAGCCATGGTGCCTTCTTCTCGACATTAATGAAATATGTATCCTTTAAAAGCACACCCTTTTTTGCAACCAAAGTTTAACAAGCCTTGTAGCTGAGTTCTGCTCGTGCTGGGTTTTCTTTTTCCTGTTCTCAGGCGCGATGCGGGCACCTCTCAGGCAAGGCCCTTGCCGCCGAGCGTTGCCGGGCAGAGCTGGACGCCTCCCGCTTCCTCCCTGGCCCGGCCCCTGGTCCTTCGTGGGCCGCGCTCCGCCGCCATGCGCTCGGAGATGGAGCCGCTGCTCCTGGCCTGGAGCTATTTTAGGCGCAGGAAGTTCCAGCTCTGCGCAGATCTGTGCACGCAGATGCTGGAGGAGTCCCCTTATGACCAGGTACCAGCCGGACCCCGTCAGCCCTGTGAATCCCAGCGAGAGGCAGAGGGCACTGGGGGTGCCGGGTGGGGGCTCCAGGGAGGAAGGCCCAGGGCGAAGTTGACCGTGTGGTCAGCACAGGCATCTGGAACGAGACCCCCTAGAGTCGTGGCCGGCTCGTCCCTGTCGGCGGCGTCCCCGAGTCCCCGCGGGACCCTCGAGTGCTGTGCCTTGGCCGCCCCCTCCTCAAACTTCAGCAGCCCCTTTCCTTTACGGGTCCCTTAAAGGAACACGTAAAAAGTCACCGAATTTTACTTGGGTGCAGAACTTTGATAATTCATTTATACTTGCATACGGATGGACTCGGAAGCTTGCTGCGTGTGCGTTATTTTCTAAAACTGATGTATAAACAAAGATCTGTAACTTCTCACCTCCTGTTGAAATAGCTGCCTTTTTTTTTTTTTTTTTTCAACCTTTTTATCTCTCCACTTCATCTTAAGATTGTTGTCCAAGAGTGAAGGAGGCTTTGATTCTGGGACATGAGTGCATTTTGAGGCAAATAATACAAGTTAGAGAAATGCGAATCTAGGAGGGGAAGAGATACATTTACTATTAGGAGTGGGGAATGGGGGAAAAAAGCCCCCCTAAAGGAATGATGACAGTGGTTTTAAGAGAACTTAAATAAACTATTACTGTACTACCATAGTAAGATGAATTAAGATATTAAACAAAGAGAAAGAATGGTCATATACTCCCGTGGCAGGTAGTTCCTGGAAGAGGCAAAAAGGAGAAAAAAGGAGAATAAGAGCAGAGCTGTGGCAGTTTGTCAGTGCTTCTAGTAAAAACTGGTTCTCCAGCTTTTCCTCTAGTGGTGTTGCCTTGGAGATGTTAGAAAAAAAGGGAAAATTGAGGGGAGTTACATAAGTGGAGGCATATGTGTGAACACTGTTACTAGGGTCTGCCTTAGTTTCCAGCAAGTGGATGGAGGCTAACCTGTTGAGGTGAACGTTTTGACTTCCAGATAGAACAATCCTAGAACAATCCACATTAGTGGGAATACTAAGCTAGATTCTTTTTTTTGTGTTAGTTCATGTTAGTTAATAGGACTGCGTTTTTGTTGGAGAAGCTCTTTTTTTTTTTTAAATTTAAGATTTATTTATTTCAGAGAGAGAAAGTGAGAACGTGCCAGGGGGTAGGGGGGCTGCAGACAGAATCCTCAAGCCGACTTCCCGATGAACGGGAGCCTGATGCCTGGCTCGGTCCCAGGACCCTGACCATGACCCCAGCAGAAATCAAGAGTTGGTTGATTAACGGACTGAGCCACCCATCTGCCCCAGGAAGCATTTTTCTAAGTGTGTTTCTTGCCACAGTAGTCCCACCGATGCTGCTCAAAAAAACACAAAAATTCCACAATAAAATATGACTGGGAACGTTACAAAATCTTGACCCCTTTACATTTGTACAACAAAATTTTGTTAAAACTCTATGTGATGTACCAGACATTGTTCTAGGCACAATGGTTTGCAATGTACATGCTGTACAATGTAAAGTACATGCTGTTTCTGTTTTTCCATTGATTTAGGGCAGTTTCCATTCTGTGTTCCACAGAGCAATAGTCCCAAGAACTGTTGTTCAGTGAAAGGAAGTTTCCTCATTCAATGCATTTGGGAACTGTATATTCCCTGAGAGATTCAAGATTCATACTAAAGGCCCTGGGTTCTGAAGAAAAGAAACTTAATTTTGCCTAATTTTGATTAATACAATAGTTCTGAAACTTATTTTTGGTAGTAGGCAAGGGTCAGATATCTTCATTGTTATCATACTAGGGAGACATAGTCTCCTGGGGAAATAATGTTATAGGCAAAGCAGTACTGTTTTTATTAATGGTTAAGATCCTATAATCTTGGAGCACCTGGTTGGCTCACTAGGTTAAGCGTCTGCCTTGGGCTCAGATAATGATCCCAGGGTCCTGGGATCAGCCCCACTCGGGCTTCCTGCTCAGCGGGAAGCCTGCTTCTCCCTCTCCCTCTGCCTGCCGCTCCCCCTGCTTGTGCTCTCTCACCCTCTCTTTCTCTCTCAAATAAATAAAAAAATTTTTAAATAAAAAGATCCTATAATCTTAGTAACATAATCATAGTGCATTCAGTACAGTACTGTGCCTGTGAATTCAGATTTAGTTTGTGCTAGGCACTGTCATCAGAATTTTATGTGTTCAATTAAATGACCTTTTGTTGAGTGCTTATTACTTGCCAGGCATAAGTTGTGTGAATTATATGGATTTCAATGCTTAGAATAACATTGCAAAGTAGGTAACAAAAATAATAGCTAACATTTATTATTTACTCTGTCAGGCTTGGTTCAGAGGGTTTTATAAGTCATCTCATTTAATCCTCAGCTGTCTTAGGAAGTTGGTACTATTTCCCCCATTTTACAGATTCAGTACACTGGGGCACAAGGTGAAGTAATTTGTCCCAAATTACAAAGCTGGTACACCCATTCTCTTTATCTATACCATGCTGCCTCTTTGGCCCTTATGTGGCCAAATTTTTCCAAAATGGTGTGTTTCTCAACTTTTCCTAGTACATTTTCCCATCTACTGTGCCTTTTTCCAGATTTTAGCTAAATGGTAAAGAATTTTGACGTATTTGTGTGCTTGTATTAAAGGCTCTGTAAAGACCTGAAGGAAGGAAACCTAACCAATTTTGATTGAGACAGTATTCTGAAACTTATGTGATCTCTGGTGTCTTTTTTTGGAGGCAGAGGGACGGATCTCTCCCTTATTATCTTGGAGAGATATCATTTTGGAAAGTGCAGGGCAAAGCAGCAGTGTTTTCATTAATGGTTTAGATGGGGCCATAGAGATCTTCTTGCTCCCTTTTTATCTAGGAAGAGTAAGATAAACAGATTAAGGACTTTGTCTACAACTCCTGAATTAGCAGCTAAATAAGGTTAAGGGCTTGGGTCTTTTTATTTGGTTTCTTGTACAGCTATCATTAGGCCTTATGGGCCCTCTTGGCAGATTAAAGACTTGTTATAAGGTCTGTTTGGCGGAACTGTGATTTTGATAATGATAATGAAGAAAAAGACGGAGGTTTATATAGGGAAATATTGCTGTTGGCATTGGTTAACCATTTGACGTGGTTAAGATCATTAGGGTAGTAGGTCTTGTTAGGCCCTGGCCTATTCTATTGGCTTATTTGTTGTGGATTTCAAAGAATAATCTATAATGTGATACATAGTTAATGTCTAATACCATAGACATTAAAAAATGTTATTCTTTGTTAGTATTTTTTTGTTTTGAGCAGGGGTTGATAAGTTTAGCTCCTATAAATATCAGAGTAGGCCTAGGAGAATCAGTACCAGATCTAGAAGAAATTTATGATATTCTTTTCCTTTCTAATCCTTTTTATTTGTTTTGCTGAGGTAGTTAAGTAGGAACTATATATATTGCCAGAACAATGCAGTATTATGTCAGGAGTAGAAGTTTAACTTGAGTTACCTTACCAAACTGGGCTTTTGATAGCTGGATAGGGCTGCTGAAAAGTTTATAGGGTGCATTCATGTTAGTTATTTTTTTTTTTTTTTTAAGATTTTATTTATTTATTTGACAGAGAGAGAGAGAGCACCAGCAGGGGGAGCGGCCGGCAGAGGGAGAGGGAGAAGCAGGCTCCCCGCTGAGCAGGGAGCGGATGCAGGGCTCGATCCCAGGGCCCTGGGATCATGACCTGAGCCGAAGGCAGATGCTTAACGACTGAGCCACCCAGGCGCCCCTTATGTTAGTTATTTTTTGACTCAACCTTTAAACGTTATGCTTTTCCACTGTGTACTTTTCTTTAAGTAATTATTTTTAATTTTTTAATCCGAGTATAGTCGGCACACGTTACATTAGTTTCAGGTGTACAACATAGTGATTCACCTTCTCTATACTATGCTGTGCTCACCCCAGGGGTAGCTACCATCTGTCACCGTACCGCGCTATTACAGTCTCACTGACCATATTCCCTTTGCTGTTCCTTTTATTCCCACGACTTATTCACTTCATAACTAGAAGCCTATATCTCGCACTCCCTGGTGCCCATTTTGCCCACTCACTCCCCCACCCCTTCCCTCTGGCAACCATCAGTTTATTCTCTTTATTTGAGTCTGTTTCTATTTTCTGTTTGTTTGTTTTGTTTTAAATGAAATCATACGGTATTTATCTTTTTCTGTCTGACTTATTTCACTTAGCATAATATCCTCTAGGGTCCATCCATGTTGCAGATGGCAAGATCTCATTCTTTTTTATGGCTGTGTAATATTCCATTGTACATATATACCACATCTTCTTTATCCATGGATATGGTTGCTTCTGTATCATGGGAATTGTGTACTTTTTTTAATATAATTTTATTTTTTAGAAGATTTTATTTATTTATTTGACAGAGAGAAAGACAGGGAGAGAGGGAACACAAGCAGGGGGAGTGGGAGAGGGAGAAGCAGGCTTCCCACGGAGCAGGGAGCCCGATGCGGGGCTCGATCCCAGGACCCCGGGATCATGACCTGAGCCGAAGGCTGACGCTTAACCGACTGAACCACCTAGGTGCCCCTATATCATGGGAATTGTAAATAATGCTGCAGGAAACATCAGGGATGCAAATATCTTTTCAAATTAGTGTTTTCGTTTTCTTTGGGTAAATACCCAGAAGTGGAAATACTGGATCATACAGTATTTCTATTTTTAATTTTTTGAGGAACCTCTATACTGTTTTCCACAGTGGCTGTTCTGACTTACATTCCCACAAACAGTGCATGAGAGTTCCCTCACTGTGTGCTTTTCTTAGCACAAATTTGTGTATTTTGTACCCATATGTTATTTTATTTTGGAAATATTTCCTGGTATGATCTCCCCCAGTATGTAGAAATCTTCCCTTTTTCTTATTTAATTAAAACATTTAAAAATATTTATGTTGGAGTGATGATACAACTAATGAAGAGCTTTAGGAAGCTTAAGAAGTTTCCTTTGATTAAAAACTTGAAAATTC